TAATAATAAAGTCTTTAAAGAGAATAAAGTAATATAAAAATAAGCCATATAAAGACGGGAAATGAACAGGGAGTTTACTGAGAGACACTGGATTACGGAAACTGCTAAATTAAACCAACCTATATTATTTTTAAAATATCTCAACTCCAAAATGGAAGTCAGGAAATAGGTTGCACTGGGGGAAGGTTATGCCTTTCTTTCCACAGGTAACAAAGAGTTATTGTTTTCTTCAAAATTAATGAAGATCAGATTTGATCGGGGAAGATGTCATAAATCCTTGGCTACAAACATAAAAGAAAAAAAACAAACAAACAAACTACAGAACAGGTCATGTATATGCTGATCCCTCTACTATGGGAACAGCTCTAAGACTGGTGACACATGATAAATCTTGTTGGCTACAGTTTGGGTATGCAGTCCAAGTGGACTCAGAAAGTTGACAGATGCCTTTTACCTGCTCAAACACAGAATAAAAAAAAAAATTCATCTAGCTGGGCAGTGGTGGCACACGCCTTTAATCCCAGCACTTGGGAGGCAGAGGCAGGCAGATCTTTGTGAGTTCAAGGCCAGCCTGGTCTACAAGAGCTAGTTCCAGGACAGGCTCCAAAGCAGAGAAACCCAAAAAAATCATCTTTAGCTGACTTGTGCACACCACACATTCCATACTTATGTTAATATAGATATATACGCTACCTTTAAAAGTTTGTGTTTTCAGAAAAAAAAGGACCAGACACCAATGAAAACAAGTAGCCCTGGCGATCCAACCTCTCAGAGTGGCTCTGTTGCAGTTTCCTCAAAATTCTGTATCCAGAACTACTTCAAAATTGCTGACTGAGATGGTCCAGCCTTAGACCCTTCCAGCCAGGACTTCAAGCCCTGCACTTTCCCATCAGCAGAGACTGGACAACAAATCACAGCTAGCTCTCCCAGGACTTGACCATTATCCCAACTATCTCAGGGTCCGCTAAAATGCCATTGCCCCCCAGACAAGAGGAAGCAATTTTAAGACTACAACTCCCACATTCCCAAGAGATGGGGTAGGTGGGTTTTGGTTGGTTGGTGGATTATAAATGTCTGTCATCGTTTAAGGGGGGTTTGTTATATTATTACTGGTTATAGGAAGGGAGGAAACTTAGCAAAGGAGGTTAGATTCAGGGATCTCTTTCTGAAAAGAAAAACGCCTCCCTTTCTATAAAAATGATAGGAAAAGGCAGTCAGTGGTGGTGCATTCCTTTAATTCCACCACTCAGGAGGCAGAGGCAGGTGGATCTCTATGAGTTCAAGGCCAGTCTGGTCTACAGAGCAAGGTCAGTACAGGCTCCAAAGCTACAGAGAAACCCTGTCTCGAAAAACCAAAAAAAAGGAAAGAAATGATAGGAAAATGTGTAATTATTGAATCTACTTTTAAACAAACAAACAAACAAAAAACTAGTCTTAAATATTTTACATTGGTATGAATTTTTGTATATTGATACAAATTTAAGGCTATTTTTGTTCTACTGAATATGTTTCTAATATTGTTTAAGGTATTGTACCTAGTGTTTTGAAGTCTAAAAGATTGTTTTAGGATAGTATTACAAGTTATAATATAAAATTGTTTAAGTATAAAACTTTAAATCATCAAGATAAGGTAGATAATATAGGATTTTTTCCAAATATGCAAGTTACAAATAGACTGGACATTGTGAATATAATTCTTACCTAATAACTGTTTTTACTATATATAGTTTTACTATTAAGAGTTAAAACCTTTCCCTTTTTTTTTTTAGACAAAAATGGAGACATGTGGGATATTTGTATACTTTATAAAGATATATTATTGTGATTGGCTTAATAAAGAGCTGAGCAGTCAATAGCTAGGCAGGAGGTATAGGCGGGACTTATGGGCAGAGAGAGGCTGGCAGAGAAGACACCAATGAGACATGGAGAAGAGTCAGACATACAGAATGAAAGAAAAATAAAAAGCCACACGTTAAAAAGTAGATTAATAGAAATGGGTTAATTTAATTATAAGAGCTAGTTAGGAATGAGCCTAAGCTATAGGCTGCACATTCATAATTAATATTGTCTCTGTGTTGTTTTGTGAGCTGACAGTCCTAAGAAAAATCCATCTAAGGGATTCCTCAAACAACTGTCAGTAACTCCAGACCCAGAGGATTCAAGGGCACCAGGTACCAATTTGTTACAGACAGACAGGAGGAGACAAAACCACCCTACACACAAAATAAAACAAACATATCTTTTTTAAAAAGCCACAGAATCACATCTCCTGCACATAAACATAATCTGACTTCTTCCTTTCTTATTTACAACCCATTTGTTGGTCTGTTTGTTGGCATCCTAAGCTACATAACGCTACCTACCAATAACTCAAAGCAAACCAGACAAAGCACCTTTACCATGAACAAGTCATCCCTACAGATGTGTTCTGTGTGAACTATAGTCACACAGGACAAGAAAGACTCTCACTCAACCAATTAACAAGTTCTTTTGCTATCTCTTGGTACCCTGAGTTCCACGTGTTCTTTATCTGTGTAGTGTCATATGCTCTGAGACCACCTTTCTATACTTTATCTGTAATCTACAATTAGATTACCTAATAGACAATTTGGAATCTATCCACTAGTAATCTACAGTCAGATACCTAATAGACAATCCAGATCATCTCGTTTCAGTGTAGCAAAAGAAGGTCATGCCTGTAAGAGAAGTATAGTCTTGTAACCGAGCCTATAAATGTCTGCTGCACCTTCTGCGCAAGCACAGAAGAGACAGAGACTCTGGGTGGTGAGGTGACCAGTAGAGACCCAGAGCCGTACAAACACCACAGGCCAGAAAGAGGGCGCTGTGGAGGAGCAGAACTTGATTGAGCTCTGGTTCTGGCTTCTAGAGTCTAAGTCCCAGTAAAGAGAGCACTGGCACAACACTGGGTGACAGATGTCACAGCACCAGGATCACGGCTACTAAGCACAGAACCTGGATCTCAGGTGAGGTCAGAAGGCAGGAATCTAGGAAGAGGCATTAGTAAAGGCAGGCTGTGACTTGCTAAGAATTAGAAAAAGAACTGCCCCCACAGAAAACTCAAAGGGAAACAGATGAAGCGTTTTTACCACGATGGAAAGCTATTCCTATGGATGTCTGCTGTGTGAACGGTGAGCCACACGGGATCCCTACGGATGTCTGTTGTATGAACGGTGAGTCATACGGATTCCTGCGGATGTCTGTTGTGTGAACGGTAAGTCACACGGGATTCCTATGAACGTCTGTTGTATGCACGGTGAGTCGCAAGGGATTCCTATGAATGTCTGCTGTGTGAACAGTAAGTCACACAGGATCCCTTTAGGAATATTAACATGGGAAATGGTAATAAAATTTTTAACCTAATACAAACAACAACCTTTGGAATCATTACTCATCCCCACGTCAACATTCTTCTCCCTCTCCATGAGCTGTCGAACTCAATCAAGTCCACCCAGCCCTACTGCAGCCTCCATTTAGAGCCTGAAGCTATCTGTGAACAACGATGGGCACGAACACAAACGGGGTCCAGAGGGGATTTCAGCTGGAGAACAAAACTGTGAAGGCGACATAGAAACAAAAGGTCGTTATATTTTTGGGCTCAAACCACCTAGAAATCCAGAGTTTTTAACTCAGTTTTCAGGAGGAACACTCAGTGTCCTGAAACAAACGGGACCTGCTTCACTGAGACACAGGAGATGCTCAAGGAGATGCAAGATCAGATGTAAAAGAGAATCCTAGTTACCCTGGACAACATAAGCCCACACATTCATCAGATTGCCCAGACGGAGCGTCATGTGGAAGGGATGGACACACAGCCAAGCTACAGGGCTATTCCCCAATACCTGCAATCTAAGCAACCGAACTCATAACGGGTAACTGGAGGGCCCCTCATTTCCTTCCTAAAGGTGGGTGATCTTGAGGCTGAGTGGTAGTCCATCTTCTTTCAGGTTTTTGACAAATGATTCAGCTAAGTTTTCTTACCAGTTCAATGGGCAACAACTGTCCTATGTGTCCCTTCGTCCCAGTGTAAGGTCCTCACACTTTAGTGCACATTGCTGGCCTCCCTCAGTGACAACTACCGTGTCTGGATTCAAAGCAGAGCCCAAAGCCTGGCTTGCTAACGTTAGTTCCTGAGCACCTAGAGCACATGCAGGGGGTAAGACTCCATTCTTCTGATACCTGGACCCAAACTGGACACAAGAAAAATCACCACCACCACCACCTTCATCATCATCATCATCATCATCATTATCTTCTTCTTCTTCATCATCTTCTTCATCACTACCGTCCCCAGAAAGTGCGAGGAAGAGGAAGGAGAAAGGACTGTCGTACATACTACCACAACAAGAGCAGAAAAGGGCATCAGGGAAGAAAGGAAGTGAGAGGGAAAGACGCTGCTGCGGTGCTGTCGTCTGGAGTCAGTCTCACACCTAAGCTGTACGGACATGCAGAAACACGGTCCCCTGAATTACATTTGAGAAAGGGGGCCACCGGACTCAAGGGTGCTGCTGCTACTGCTGCTGCTTTCCGAGAGACTGGAATTACATGCAATCAGACATCAAGGCATAAGGCATGGCTAACAGAAAGAGCAGACACTGCCCAGTCCAAAACATCACCCTGTGAGCCCCAGTTCTCAAATACAACACTGACCACAGTCTCTGAGATTCATTTTTAATGAGAAACACATGAGCTAGGTCGCAAAAAAATGCAACTCTTTGGTTTTTGTACAGACAACAGGATGAGACAGGCAGGAAGAAAGGAGCGTACAACACTGCAATCTTCACTTTCTCGTGGACCAAAGCCTGGGAGAGTCATGGAGGCAGGGCACATGGCCACCAGAGAGCTAGCAAGCGACACAGGTTAATAACCCAATGACTCCCAAAATTCAACTGAGGTCAGTGCCACACAGCAGTTCTTTCCAAACCATGTTAATTTCTTCCCTGCACTGCAAACACACACACAGCTCTCCTGCAAATAAATACCTAGGAGAGGTCCGCAGGGAGGAGGGACGTCTGCTGGCAGCACTGGGCGAGCCGGGTGGGAAGGCGGGGCCCCTGCTGCGGGGTCTCTGTCTGGAGGAGCTGACAGGTACTGCTCGGGGACTACTTGGGCGGGCAGGGAAGCCTGGGGAGTTAGCCTGAATGGAGGGTCGTGGGGTGGGGCAAGGTGAAGACCCCCATGGGTGCATGAGAGTGTAGGGTCGATACCTTGGGGATGAGGCTTGGCTTCCAGCCACAGTTCCAGAAGCTGCACTGTGAGGACTGAGGGATGTGGGAGGCACAGCCACCCGGCGGGCTGCCCTGTGAGGATTTGGGGATGCGGGAGGCACAGCCACCTGGCGGGCTGCACTGTGAGGACTCGGGGATGCGGGAGGCACAGCCACCTGGCGGGCTGCACTGTGAGGACTCGGGGATGTGGCAGGCACAGCCACCTGGCGGGCTGCACTGTGAGGACTGTGAGGACTCGGGGATGTGGCAGGCACAGCCACCTGGCGGGCTGCACTGTGAGGACTCGGGGATGCAGGAGGCACAGCAACCTGGGGGGCTGCACGGGAAGGTGAGGCCAAGGATGGACTCAGCCCTGGTGCAAAGCTCCAGAAACTGGCAGCAGGAGCAGGGCTAGTTTCATAGAGGCTAAATTAGTTGGAAAAGGGAGGAAAGAAGAGAAAAATCAAAGAAACACTTGAGATAACTAAGAATGGATAACGTCAGCTTTTAAAGGATAATACAATCATATTATAAATTCTAAAAGTTTAAGTAGATAAGCATTTCAAAAATGACCAGACACTAGTTGCTACATTCATGTGGAGGTGCCAATGACCCCTTCCAAAGAATAATGAGCACACAGAGCCACGTGTGTCTAAAATTTAACCTACCAACAACCTAACCAACCACAGAAGGCTAAGAAATTCAATCAAAGAAGGGTAGCACCACCTGCAATGGCCACAGCCACCCTGTCCCCCGCTCTCCCCGCATGTTAAAGACACTGTAACATCAACGACACACACATCAACACTGTGGAACGGCTCGCCTCAACATTCTCCACAGCTGTTTTCACTGCCAGTGAGATGTGCAAGAGAATCACACTGACCTAGACAACGAGCTGGCGCCGAAGGAGCCCAGGCTGCAGAACATGGGGCTTGTTCCTGGATTGGAGCCAGTGTTCAGCATGAGATTTCTGTCAGGTGACCGAGCTGCCGTGGAAATAGGCTGAGATGTGGCTGTCAGACTGGCAAACGGATTTTCATCTCGTGTCTGAGTGGACATCATCAGTACTTCCATTAAAATCTGGCCAATCAGATCCTTAAAATCAGAGAACACTGTTGGGAAGGCAGAGCAAAAAGCAGGTTATTCACGGGTTGTCATTTCCACGGTCCTCAATAAGCCAAACAGAACCAGAGCGACACTGTGCGCGATGCGGTACTGGGTTCTCAACACTAAAAGGATACTAGCTGAAACCCAAAAAGAGGTCCAGTGTTGTTTCCAGTGATTTCTTTTTCTTTTTTTAATTTATTTTTATTTTACTGGTGTTTTGGCTGTATGCATATCTGTGTGAGAGTGTTGGATCCTGGAGTTACAGACAGTTGTGAGCGGCCATGTGAGTGCTGGGAATTGAACCTGGGCCCTAATGAGGATAATGCTCTTGACCGCTCAGCCATCTCTCTAGCCCTTCTTTTTCTTCTAAATATTATTGTACATTTTTCTCTGTGTGTATATATGTGCACACGCATGCCCATGTAGGGATCAGAGGACAACTTTCAGGATATCTTTCCATCCACCGTGTAGGTTCTGGGGATAGCACTCAGGCCATTATGCCTAGGGGCAGGCATCTCTACCCACTGAGCCATCTCACTGGTTCACCCCATAGTCATTTACAAGTTTGGGCAAACATACCACAACTGTGTAAGAGGCAACATTAGGGGAAGCTGTGCGACCACAGCTATATAGAGGAAACATCAGAGGAAGCTGAGAGACCACAGTTGTATAGAGGAATCATCGGAGGAAGCTGAGCAACCACAGCTGTACAAAGGAAACATCAGAGGAAGCTGAGAGACCACAATTGTATAGAGGAAGCATCAAAGGAAGCTGAGCAACCACAGCTGTATAGAGGAAGCATCAGAGGAAGCTGAGAGACCACAGCTATATAGAGGAAGCATTAGAGGAAGCTGAGCAACCACAGCTGTATAGAGGAAGCATCAGAGGAAGCTGAGCAACCACAGCTGTATAGAGGAAGCATCAGAGGAAGCTGAGAGACCACAGCTATATAGAGGAAGCATTAGAGGAAGCTGAGCAACCACAGCTGTATAGAGGAAGCATCAGAGGAAGCTGAGCAACCACAGCTGTATAGAGGAAGCATCAGAGGAAGCTGAGAGACCACAGCTATATAGAGGAAGCATTAGAGGAAGCTGAGCAACCACAGCTGTATAGAGGAAGCATCAGAGGAAGCTGAGCAACCACAGCTGTATAGAGGAAGCATTAGAGGAAGCTGAGCAACCACAGCTGTATAGAGGAAGCAGAGGAAGCTGAGAGACCACAGCTGTATAGAGGAAGCATTAGTGGAAGCAGAGCAACCACAGCTGTATAGAGATGACATCAGAGGAAGCTGAGAGATCACAGCTGTATAGAGATGACATCAGAGGAAGCTGAGCAGCCACAGCTGTACAGAGGTAATATTAGAGCAAACTGAGTAAAGGTTATGCAGAAGTTCTTCCTATTTTCCTCAATTTTTTTGTAAATATAAAACTAATCTAAAATTAAATTTTATTTAAACTAAGTTAGAGTGCACCCAGAGAGCTGCCACAGATGACTGTTTACTGTAGAAAGGAACCGGTCCCTACTAGAGTTGCCCGTGCCATACTATGACAAACACAACAAGGTTAGTGGTTCTCGGCCAACATACACTTCCCAGAAAGTCCAAGCTCCAAAGGTTCTATGAAGGGCTCCATATTCAGTCACCATCTGGTTTCTGGAGCAGATTCCAGTCTAGCTTCTTTCTTGTTCTTTGCAGCTCCTGGTTGATTTGCTGTTGATCTTTAGATATATCCTAGATACCAATAACCAAAGCCCTGATCCGTGTCAGTTTCACCTAGTTAGATCATTAAAAATCATGGTTGATGTGTACAAGGGAATCATGAGAACCTTGGAGTTAAGAGTGAGAGCACTGTGTGGCAAGTCTTTAAAACCTACAGTTGCTTGGCTCTTCCCAGCCAGTTACTAAGACACTAACATCAGAAACCCCTGACCTTCCAGGAACACAGGACTTCCACTGCCCTGAAGAAGGCAGGCTGGGTGGAAAGGGAACTGTAACCATGATAACAGTGACTGCGCACTGAAAACATATCTCTTTAGCACTCCTTATACAAACACCTTCCTGAAGATTGGGGATAGACATCAATGGGCAAAAGGCGAAAGATCCCACGACCCAGACAGCTGTACCCAGCGATGCGGCCCTACTCTTCCTCTACTGCAAATGATTACATTGCGCCACAGTGCCTGCAAAATAGCCTTAGTATAGTTCAGTACAGCTAATGACTTAAAATAGAATCTAGGGAGACAGCAAAACGTAATTATATTCCATTTTGCTAAGTAATTTAATAAAAAGATTTGGACTGACTATCTACACACGGCTTGGTAAACACTGAGCCTACAGTGACAATGGACCTGCAATAAGGGACGAGATCTCCTCAACTGTGGCTGAAGTCAGCAGGCTACAGATACAACAGGTGGTTGTCTCGAGTCCTGGGGCCAGCCAGCATGCTACTTTACAGGGACTAATGCCCTCTCAGAGAGTATTCCACCATAAGGCAAAAACCTCGCCAGAGACAGTGGAAACCATCCGTTTATTTATATATATTGGAGGTGGAGAGATGGCTCGGCAGTTAGTTTGCCGCTCTTCCAGAGGAACCAACTTCAGTTCCTCCTGCTCACACATGTGCCTCCAACAATCTTTAACTCCAAATCCAGGGGATGGATCTGACGCTCTCCTCTGGCCTCCAGAGGCACCTGACCATACATTCATGCACAATATGCACAAGCAAATGAATGCAGACATACCCATTTTAAAAATCTCAAAAACAAATCAAATCAAATCAAACCATGTAGCAATCAGATCAGTGGAAAGGGAAGAAAGTAAGCACACAGGTGTGTCTCCATCAGAAGCAACCCCATAACAAAAAGTGTGGTTCTATACCATGGGGACAGAGACCCACAGTCTCACATTCTATACATAGGTGCTCGGGGGGGGGGGGGGGGGGGAGGGGAGGGGGTGTTAAAAAAAAACAGACAAAGAACCCACCTTCTTTTGGGTTCTGTTTAAACTGCGCAGAAAGAGAAGAAAGGAAGATGACATCTCTGTCCCGGTCCTTCCAGGAGACGCGGAAGATCTTACAGACCAGCTGTAAGGCCTGCTCTTCGGACACTTCAGGACCTGACGAAGGCTCCTAGTGGGAAGATCTGAGTGTTAATGTACAGTAGGAGACAGGAGTAAAGACATTTGATTCCTTTTTTTTTTTTTTTTTGGTTTTATGAGACAGGGTTTCTCTGTGGTTTTTGGAGCCTGTCCTGGAACTAGCTCTTGTAGACCAGGCTGGTCTCGAACTCACAGAGATCCGCCTGCCTCTGCCTCCCAAGTGCTGAGATTAAAGGCGTGTGCCACCACCACCCGGCTTTTTATTCATTTATTAACAGGGTTATTAACAGGGATATTTTTAGATGCATAAAACCGTTCAGCCGGGCAGGTGGTACGAGCTGGGAAGCAGAGGCAAATGGATCTCTACAAACACAAAGCAAGTTTCAAGTCATCCAAAGGTACGCATGGGCTTCTGTGGGCTGGGGGAGTAAGTTACAAAGTCAAGTTCTCATTAAGCTGATGCCATCACTGATGGGAGAGCAGAGGCATTGTCAGGAGTAACCAGGAAGAAGAGGCACAAAGTGTGCCCACGTCATCTACCTGCTGAGTGAGCGCTGCAGAACCAGGCTACGTCCCCGGGACAAAAACACTTTCCTCTGAGAAATTTTACAGCCTTTCATGACAGAAGCACTATTACATACAAGAAACTTGAGGAACTTCACAAACAGAGGCCACACCACAAGGAAGCTATTGTCTAAGAACCATCACAAGGTCACCAAAGTAGTTCTGTGAACTTCTTGAATGGAATGTGGTGTACTGGCCTATACCACACATGACACCCAAACCCGCATGGCACCTATACCCACATCCACACCCAAACCCGTCACCCAGTCCAGAGATCAGAGCTCAGATAAAACAGACAGAAAGGCCTCACCAAGTCTGCACTTGCTGCTAGATTTTACATGTCCTTGCTTTAATTAATTCAGAATACAGCCAAAGATAAAATGATCTACTGCCTTAGTAAAGACCCACAAAAATTAAATTTCACTGAGGAAAAGCACAAACCTAGTCAGTCATGGTGGCACACATCTTTACTCCCTGCAATGAACAAACAGCCAGACAGATCTGTGAACAGCCCAGGCCAGCCAGGGCTGTATAGCAAGATTCTGTCTCAAAAAAAAAACCCCAAACCAAACAAACAAACAAAACGAAAACACAGGGACCCAACCCAAAGACAGGTTGACTGACACTTCCAAGGAAGCCTGGACTACATAGTGAGAACTGTGGGGAATGGGGACCACCCAGCAGACTGCAGCTGCCAGAAGGGAACAGAGTGCCGTCCTCCTCCCCACCAACCTTTTCGCTCAGGCTCCTTTTCTCCCGTCGGTCATTCTCGTCCACTTCCATGTTTTCAATTCCCGAATCCACATCCACCTGGGACATGCTTCAAGTACAAAAGACAAACAAGGCTTTCATCTTTTTTAAAACTCCCAGCGTCAAGGCTGTGACAAAATTTAACATATCAACCTGCATTTATCAGGAAAGCAGAATAACACTGGTTCCCTCTGAAAATCTAAGAGCCCCTCATGTACTGGCATGGAAGCATCCTGTCTGTCTTACGTGCTGGACTCATTCTCCCAAGGTATCATTTCCTTGAGATCACTTTCAGAATCTAAGCTATCAGCAGGATGGATTTTCAGGATGTGCTATTTTTAAACAATGCATGCTGCAAGCAGAGTTATTTGCACTGACTGTCCAGCACCAGGTACTAAATCATCCCTTTGACCCCGACAAGAACGATGCCTGTCATTTGTCTCATTCTCACAAATATGTGGCATTTGGGGTACTCATTTCTATTCCACAGCCAGCCACTCTGTCTCACCAACCAAAACGTCTCAACAGGTCTTGCTTTGGTCCCATCATGCCTTGCTCTAATTCTAGATCCATACAAATTTCCACTATGATTTCTCCTTGGCGGAAAACGTATTAGGGTATTTTATTAAGTTCTATGCTAATTTTCTGGCTTAATATATACAAGTCAAAACACGTGGCCCTTATGTGTCTGACTCTAGTACCTTTCCACCCGATGAGCACATAGAGTCCTATATTTTTCAATTAGATCACTGACTGCACTGCTTAATGTATGCTTCCTCATGTTCATCCTCTCCTTGATCGATTTCTGGCTAAAAAAGACACGTCTGAAGCCCCTGAGGATGGTTTTACATATGGTGATGGCTTCTCGACACCCTGTCAGCATTCGCTTTACGGCATGCTGATGTTATATTACTAAGCGTGTGCACACTTGGAGCTGCCATGGCTGCAGGTAAACTCTTCACAGAAAACTTCCTTCTGGTCATGAAGCTGGGTTACAGGACACACAACAGCCCACGGTTTACCTTTGCCTCCTTCAGCCAATACTGAAACTAGCCGTTTTGGAGGTGAGCAATTCACGAGTCTAAAGTGCATGCTGCTGAGTAGCGTGGCGAAATCCTGCAGCTTGCTGTACTCTGCCCAGGGCGAAGTCCTCCCTTGGTCACAAAATCCATGCTAGCTCTCACTTTATTTGGCAGCTTGGTTACCAAACCTGGTGTCGCCATGCTAGTCCTCAGGTCACTCTTCCTTTACTCAGCAGTGGCCCCAAAGCCCAAGAGGAGTGACATTAAGGAAGCCCAGAGCATAAAATGTGGAAAGAAGGGTCAACTCTGGTACTACATGGTAGGGCTACAGAGGGAGACACTAAACACAAGAATCTAAGGGCACTTGGTCTAATAGCAGCCTTTCTGGCTTACCTGCTACGGCTGCTGAATATTTTAGAGCCATTTAACCTTTCTGATTTCTCTGTCTCACTACTGTTGCACACACTGGTATTATCATTTACACGCTGAGATCTAGTCACATGTATCACATGTTAATTGTGAGGCCATTTTGTTTAATCATCCATACCTTATGTCTCATAAAAAGCATCTGAACACTGAACTCTGTGGCGAGGTGGTACTTGATTATAACTACTGAGCCACCTCTCTAACTCATAAAGACACTTGACTCAGGCAACCGTATAAAGACTATTTCATTCAGAACAGAAAAACTTCTCAACCTAGGAATGAAAATTGGATTCAGTTTGGTAATGACATGGGGTCTCTGGGTTGTCACTTCAGACTACTAGGCTAAAGACTAGGGTGCAGAAAGACTAGACTGGGGAAGCAGCAAGAACAGATGGTATCAAGTTACCTTTTCTCACAGGAGACGCCGTCAATATCCATGCTCTGGGAACGGGAGAGGGACTGAGACTGCGTCTCAAGGCTGTTGGACGGTGAGCTGCTCAGAGAGCTGACTCCTTCGCTGCTCTGGCTCCGATGGGCAACTCCTACACACAAGAGGCGAGACAGAGAAAGGCCCACATGACACAATGCAAGCCCAAGAGGAAAGGCAACAGCAACACACACACCCTCACGACGCTTGGTAGTCAGCCAACCCCGGGAGTGTCAGCGAGGGATCATGACTGTCGTCACACATCATGTACAGTCAGTCATGGCGCTACACGTGGTGCTTGGAATGACTCTGACGTTCTAACTGTGGCCCCGGACACAAACTGACAAAACAGCGAGTTGTCTTTTATTTTGCTTTAGTACATTTTATGAGTGTGAGAGAGAGACAGAGAGAGAAAGGTGTGTGCACCTCTGTGTGCCACCTGTGGATGTCAGAAGACAAAGGACAGGAGTCAGTTCTCCCTTTCCACCAAGTGAGTTCCACGGATTGAAGGCAGGTGTCTCACCCAGTTAGCCGCCTCACCAACCCAACAGTAGAGAAAACTCCTGAAATGCACTGGAAATAAGATGCATTACTGAACTGGCAGACATGCAGAGGAGCCAGCAACAAATGTGCATGCACAATCCAGATGGTGGGAGGGGAGGTGTCTGTGGCTGGTCTTTCGACTTTGCCGCAAAACTGAGACTCTCAAACATGTTCAAAATACAGCAGAACTTCACCGCTCCATCTCCTTTCGTACAGATTCGTCCATTTGATGATGGAATATATTGGAGAAAATAAAAAAGTGACACCGTCCTTGTCCCCAGAGCTTACTTACGGTGACATAAAACTGGCATCAGGGCAGAGGGGCAGACTACTTCTCAGAGAACTTTACTCATCAATGTCTTAAAAATTGTTTGTTACAGAACTTTAAAAATCGCCTTAGCCCGCCGGGCGGTGGTGGCGCACGCCTTTAATCCCAGCACTCGGGAGGCAGAGGCAGGCGGATCTCTGTGAGTTCGAGACCAGCCTGGTCTACAAGAGCTAGTTCCAGGACAGGCTCCAAAACCACAGAGAAACCCTGTCTCGAAAAACCAAAAAAAAAAAAAATCACCTTAGCCAGGTGTGAGGACACACACCTTTAATCCCAGCACTAGGGAGGCAGAGGCAGGCAGATCTCTGTGAGTCCTAGGTCTACAGAGTGAGTTCTAGGACATTTAAGGATACACAGAGAAACTCTGTCTGGGCGGGGGTAGAACAAAGGCACTCAAGAGTTGACTCTGGCCTTGACTTGGGTATACACAACATAAAAACTTTATTTAGGACAGTGTACTATATACAACAGACTACACATAATAAGAACAAAGCACCATGACGTACTGAAAGTACAGCATATCTGTAGTGTTTTTGTAAGAATCATCTGAATTCACTTTGTCCTGCCCTTCAAAGATCTTTACACCCCAGTTCTCCCCACAATCGATCACATGTGCTCACAACCCGGGTTCTCCCCACAATCCATCACATGTGCTCACACCAGGGTTCTCCCCACAATCCATCACATGGCCTCACACCTCAGCTCTCCCCACAATCCATCACATGGCCTCACACCTCAGTTTTCCCCACAATCAATCACCTGCCCCACAATCGATCACATAGCCATCTCTAAACATCACAATGATCTACTTGTTTTAAAATTTTACAAAGTTTGGTGGCCCCTTCAGTTTTACTTAGAATATAAAATATCATAACTAAAACACATGAAAGCAAAAACAAAATGTCACTCTCTCCTGAAACCTCCCTGTGCTGTTATCACCCTCTTCCACTTCCTGCTAGAGAAATCAGAGTGGAGGAAGTGACCTCTGAGATTAAGACTTTTTTATTCCACCTCCCATCTTCCAAAGGCCAGATACTAAAGTGAAAGCCCAGGCATAAGTTCATCGTGGACATCAACAACCTTCACCCATCAACTTACAAAACGAATCTTTTAAAAGTGAGGGCACATGAAGCAAACGAAACAGAAAGCCATGTTTGCTTTTAATACACATGGATTATACACACATGCAAGGGGGCTCGGCTCTTGGCAGGCTCTGGCTGGGGAGGGCTGTGGAAGGCACTTCACACCCTGGGAAAGGCAGCCGCTGAAGGAACTAAGATGGGATTCACTGAGTCCTTCCTCCCCTATCAGCACAGCTCCTCAGCAATAGGCAAGCTCGGATACAAACCACACCAAATGCCCACTTAGGACTCGTTACTGCTCAACTTGTTCCGGTCATCCTTTCACCCTGTCTGTCTGTATGTCTGCCTGCCTGTCTGCCTGCCTGCCTGTCTCTCACATACAGAGGCTTGCTGGGGGAAAATAAATGAATTATAATATTCAAAGCACCCCAGGGCCAGTGAGATGGCTCAGGGGGAAAAGACCTTTGCTGCCAAGCCTGACCTGAAGACCCAACATGGCAACAACATTCCTCAAAAGGAATAGAAGTAAAAATGTTGCTTTCCAGCTGGAGACATGCGGCATGGCCAGTAAACACACATACACTCAGGCACACACATACAAACGAATAAATGAATGAATAAATGCAAAGAACTGACAAAAGGAACCCAAAACCTTTAAAAACAAACAAGAAAAAAGGAATTAGAGATTTGGGAGGCAGAGGCAGGTGAATCTCTGAGTTCAAGGCCAGCCTGGTCTGCACAGCAAGTTCCAGGACAGCTAGGGGCACACAAAGAAACCCTGTCTTGAAAAATCTACCCAAAAAGGGGGGGGGTGGAGTTTAGAAAACAGGGGAGGGGCTGGAAAGATGGCTCAGTGGTTAAGGGCACTTCCAGAGGGCCAGGATTTGATTTCCAGCACCCACATGGCAGCTCACAACTATCTCCAACTCCAGTTCCAGGGGACGTGGTACCCTCTTCTGGACTCACAGGCACCAGGCATCCACGAGGTACATAGACATGCACGCAAATAAAGCACCCCACGCATAAACTAAACACATAAACTAGAATATTTTTTTTTTTTATTTTTCAAGATAGGGTTTCTCCGTAGCTTTTGGTTCCTGTCCTGGAACTAGCTCTTCTAGACCAGGCTGGCCTCGAACTCACAGAGATCCGCCTGCCTCTGCCTCCCGAGTGCTGGGATTAAAGGCGTGCGCCACCACCGCCCGGCGTAAACTAGAATATTTTTATAAAAGACAAGGATGTGGGCTGATTTTAAAGAGCTCATCCAACCCTGCATTCACCCTCTTCTATAGGTAAAATCACGCTCTCTGAAGCCATGATGGGGGTACCTGCTGTAATCCTAGCACTCAGGAGGCAGAGCCAAGTGTCTGGAGTTTGAGATTAACCTATACGTAACAAGACTCTTAAAAATCCAAAAGAGGGCTGGAGAGATGGCTCAGAGGTTAAGAGCACTGCCTGCTCTTCCAGGCAATTCCCAGCAACCACATGGTGGCTCACAACCAACTGTAATGGGGTCTGGTGCCCTCTTCTGGTCTTCTATCATACACACAAACAGAATATTGTATTCATAATAAATAAATAAATATTTTTAAAAAATCTAAAAGAAAAGGGCTGAGAACATGGCTCAAACAGTAAAGCACTTGCTGAGTTCAAATCCCCAGGGTCTATGCTTTAAGAAGAAAAGGTTGGGCACAATGTTCACTTGTGAGCTTGTGGAGGGAAAGCAGGAACTCAAGAGTCAGGTGGCTCTCTGGAAGCTAGTCAGCCGCTTGGCAGAGTTTTAGGTCTTATCTACGAAAGCCTGTCTCAAAACAAAAGGAAGAAGGTTCCTAAGGAATGACATCTGAGGTTATCCTCCTACTGCCACACACACACACATGAGCGCATGCAAGCACACGCACATGGAATCTGAGAGCTATTTCTAACTTTATAGAAGCGGCATCAAGCAGGTTTCCATGAACTCTGTAATCTGTCATTTAAGTTAGTGTCACAGTTTATTATCTGTGTAACAATGGGGATAAAGGAGGAAAATCTCTGCCCCTTTCTTTGCTGTCTTCTGGTGTTTGTGTGTACAATTGTGTGTGCATGCACACAAAAAGGACACATTTCCAGGAGCTCTTGTGTTCAGTATTGCTCCTCTGCCTTCACAATACCTGCAAACAGGGTAAAGGAATGCCAGCAGTACCGTGCACAGCTGGCGCCAGATCAGGCTGCAAAGGCTGTCACAGCAGGGATGGCAGGACTATGGAGACAACTGGCGTAGACATGCCTGTCACCAGCAAGACACTGACGACACCTGCTCTGGATTCACAAGGGGATTAATGTGGCCCCAGGAAAACACAACTGCATGCTAAAATGGAACGCTCCAACCAAGAGGAGGAGCCTCCAGGGTCTCTGTTCCTCTGCAGCCCTCAGCCTAGGGGCTCTGGCCTGTGTCTCTGCCTCTAGCCAGATTTGCTTTTATTTATTCCACTTCCTCAGACAGATCTCATTCTGTAGCCTCCACTGGTCACAAACTTGAGATCTTCCTGCCTCCGCTTCCCAAGCCTTGGGTTTACAGGCATAAAACCATGCCCTGCTGTTTGTTTGTATATATTTGTTTATTTTGACTGTTTCTACCTTAGCAAATGGAACCCAAGGCCTGTTCCACTGGTTGCATGCCCAGCTGCAAGTCAGCTTCTAGACCACACGCAAAACTTTCCTTCTCCCAAGCCTGAACCAAGCATAAGAGGAAAAAGGATTTTCCTATAAGCAAATGGTAACAGAACAAAAGATTACCACTCTGCTGCCGCTCCTGGTGCCACTCTTAGGCAAAGGCAACGCACTGCGAAAGAACAGCTTCCACTTAGTTAAATTCTCCAAATGCACAACGTGATCTTCACGCACACAGGACGGTCTTCTATGCCCTGCACCAGTCACTACTGCCCTAGGACTCTGCTCTGACTTCTGTTCACGGCCTTGTTCTCTAAGGTGTGGCAAGACTGAAATAAATACTAGGTGGGGGCTGCATGACTGACATTACAGCATCTGGCACATCACTAGCAACACCTAGACACACCAAAGCGTCAGGTAAAGCCTAACAAGAGAATTCCCGGGAGTGAGATGACGCCTGAAGCGAATATACAAGGATTATCCCACTTTCAAAGTTAATAATGTTCTTTT